CTATTTGAAATAAATGGTTAAAAATACTAAATTAAACCCTAAACTAATAATACTAAACGCCATTGCAATTTTCAACATTCCTCTTGTACTTAAAACCTCATTCTTCAACTTTAATATTTTCTTTCTTTACCTTTCAATCTTCAAATTCCTTCCATCAACAAATTCATCACCTACCCACTTGAAAAATTGGCACCACTTCTCCATTTGATTTATGTAATTCCTACAACTCAAAAACTTTTTCCCAACATTCACACTGTTCAAATATGTGACAGTACGAATAATACACTTTTCTTGACACCAACAACCCCCTATTATTTCTTATGACCACAAATCTAAATGACCCACAATTTTGGTTACTTGGTTTTGAATAGGTGCTAGAATTAATTAACATCTTATAAAAAATTATGAAGATGATCGTTTGAATGAGGAGGATTCTCAAAGAAATTTAGAAGAAGAAGGATAAAGAAAGAATATGAACAATAGTCCTAGAAAACACGTGACAACGTTAATATAATCCCTTGTTGAGTGACTAATGAAAGTTAAATTTTGTTGTCATGCCACATCAACCCAGTTAACGTTTTTTCAATCAATTTAACAAAAAGAATTAAGTTGACTAACATAACCATTTTTAAGAGACTAAATTATAAAGTTTATTTAAAAAATTAAAATAAAATATATATATATATATATATATATATATATATATATATATATATATATATATATATATATATATATATATATACACACACACACACACACACACACACACACACACACACACACACACACACACACACACACACACACACACACACACACACACACACACACACACACACACACACACACACACATATATATATATATATATATATATATATATATATATATATATATATATATATATATATATATATATATATATATATATGTGTGTGTGTGTGTGTGTGTGTGTGTGTGTGTGTGTATGTGTGTGTGTATGTATATATGTGTGTGTGTATATATATATATATATATATATATATATATATATATATATATATATATATATATATATATATATATATATATATATATATATATATATATATATATATATATATATATATATATATATATATATATATATATATATATATATGTGTGTGTGTGTGTGTGTATGTGTGTGTGTATGTATATATGTGTGTGTATATATATATATATATATATATATATATATATATATATATATATATATATATATATATATATATATATATATATATATATATATGTATAATTTCTTAATCATCTTTAAAGAATTTAATTGATATGAATCGACAGTGTAAAATTTTTGTATACTGTTAGTTAATCACGACCATTAATTTATTTAAAAGGTTTGACTTTTATTTTAACTACTTAAAAAATAATACAACCAGATAATTGTGATGCATTGATAGTGTAAAATTTTTTACACCATACATAACAATTAATCTCATATTTAAATTTGTCAAAAATGCATCATAAAACAGATCTTTTTGCAGTAACGTATTTTTTTTCTCTTCAAAATATACTACCATTAACATGTTTGGAGATTCAAGTAAAGCTCCTCTAACATGTTAAACAATTGATTAAGAAAATCTTTTTAATATATTATATTCTTATTCAAAAGAAATTAAATAATATAATAGTAAAAGAAGTTGCTTAACCGTATCGCAAATTGTAATGGAAGTTCATTTTCATTCTATTTCTTCACATTATTCTGATGACTATCACCTTAACAACCCCTAACGAGTTGTTCTTGTCTGTACATGTCTACAGAGAAAGTTTGATATGAATGTAACAGGGTGCACTGGGGCCACTTTGTTTCCAATAAATTGTTTCTTCTCCTTCTCTTCCATCAATTATTTAATTAGTTCAACTACAAGATAAATTCTACGTGAAGCTATTCTCATGCGTGTTTGTGTGTATTAGTACGATAAATTAATTACTTAATAGTACAATACATACCATGAAAGATGAGACAGCCCTAATTAATTCTTTGGTCAAAACACACTTTAAATTATGTCTTGTTTTGGAATAATAATAATATAGAACCCTACAAGTGTAATCATTTCCATCGAGGACAACTAAATCTTGTTAAAGTTAAAAAGATATTAAAACTCTTTTCCATGGTAAGAACCCAATGGTAATATTGGATTAATAGTTAATACAACTTTCTAAATTAGGGTTTATTTTTCTAATCAAACTTAATTTAGGTGTGTGATTGAAATTGCATATAAGTGACGTGACCTCATGCAAGCGTGAATACGCACCAATATATAGTTGCATTTATTTATATTTATAGTGATGATGGCATGGTTGATAGTACTAATAAAGTGTGTGCATGGGTCAGTGTCCACCATTTGTAGTTCAAGTCAACATGCATCGTTTCATCCATATCCAAATAAAAACTTTCTTCAATACTTTCCTAACATGCATGAACAATATGTGATGTCATAATAGAAATAATGTAAAAATTATTAAATGTTATAGTCATATTTTTATGTGTGAATTTTAATAGTTATTATCACTTTATTTATTTAATGACGAAAGAGTAATATAAAATACATAAGTTTTATTTTAATTGATAAAAAATTAATATTAGATTTTATATAAATATTTAGTTAAAAAATTAATGTATCACTATCATAGTATCATTTCTAAGATCTACTATTTTGCTTACTTTTCCTATAGCAACTTAAAAATCTCCACTTTCCAAATTCCACTCATTGAGTTTATGTGACAAGCTGGACTTTACACTTTATTTAAAAGCTAAAATCAAGCCCAATTAAGAGAAGGAATCATATGGCACTAGTATGCTATATTGCTTTCTATTTTTACAATATAAGTGCTTTTTTATTTCATAGCGGGAATTTTTTTTTTCATGTAATGGAATGGAATAATTAAGATGTACTTTAATTAGGTAGTAAGTAGCTTCCTACTTTAATAATTCAGTACAGATAACTTAATTATATATGGAAATAAATAATATTTAATTCAGTACACCACATCTTATTCTACTATTTGTTTATTGTCTTATTTATCAAGTGGAAGTTTGAAATAAATATAAATAAACATGTTAAATTATAAATAATTTAATGGTGATAAATATATTAAATTAGTTTTTGCATATATTTGTAGTGATTAATCTCTTTTGCCTCAAATATAAATCATTAAAAAAATATTATTTTTGTAATCTAGTAAAATATAAACAAATTTAACTAATCCTATTATATTTAACTAGCGTCCTGCATATCAGTATGTCCGCTTTTTTAATATAAACACGTAAAAATTTAAATGATATTATTTTATATAGTATAAATTTTTAAAAAAAGTTATGTAAAAAGTTAATAATAAAAAATTGGATAGAAAGTTAATAGTGAGAAGTTATGTGAAAGATGATAATAATAGTTTTAATAAAAATTATTATATAAAGTAGGAATAAAGTTGGTAGAAAAATAGGCTACACCAAAATACTATATTTTGTCTTTATATATATTATAAAAATTATTCTTGAAATTTTCTTTGAATAATTTTTTTCTAATAATTTTTTATTGTCCTAAAACATTTTCCAATAAGAAAAAATATAGAAAATAAAATTTAAGAATATGAGAAATTGATTATTTTAAACAATGTGAACTAATATTTTATTTATCTTAATATTAAAAAATATTATGATAAAGTTAATTGCTATACTCTAACAATATAAAATATATTTTATAAGATCGTAAATATTAAATCATGAATAATTATATCTAAAGTATCAACCATGAATATTAAAAATGTCTTCAATATAAAATTTTATTTAAGAAAAATCACATCTAAAGTATCAACCATGAATAATTATAATAAATTAATTATATAAATTTCTAACATCACTTTCAAATATTTTTATATTGATATTTAGTTAAAATTGAATATAAAATAGTTATTTAAAATTTTAATAAAATAAATTCATGTGACAATTTGATCTACTTAAACATAAATCTAAGTGTATATAAGTTTGAAGGTTGTTTTCACAAAAACATAAAATTTAAAAATCATTTAAAAAAAAATGTGACTCAATACCAAACAAAGGCTAAATTACCTTTTATTTTATACAAGTTTAATTTATTTTTACCCTATATATCAATTAGTTGTATTCATGTATTTAGTGTTATGCTGTCACATCATTTAATGAATATGACAAATTAATTGTTTTTAAATCATTACATAACATGAAAACATATCATGAATATAATAATCATGATTATTTAAAAAATAGTGTTATTAATTAGTATTAATCTATGAGACTAATTAATACTTGGTCCGTGAAGAAGTTTGTATGAATCACATTCACATTCGCATTCGGATCAGAACACAATCTGCTTCTTCTCATCTCATGTGCATTTTTCTGAAGCAGATTTGGCTTTCAAATCAACCCATTCGGTACCAATAACACCACCGATAAGCGGCGTTATTCTTCTTCCTCCTCCGATTTGTTTTGTTTAATCGCCAAAATTCAACACAACAACCGCCATCAAATTCACCGTGCTTTTAATCTTAGTAACAACAAGGTACTCCTCATTGCTTCTTCAAACGCCTATGATCTAAACGCGATTTCAATTCATTGATATTCATATCAATGTTGAGTCCGTGATGGATCTGGTTCCTTGAATTTGTTAATGCTTTGATTCTTATTATTGCAATGCTTTTGATTCTCTCAATACGCTTAATTGGTAATTTTTTTGGTAAGTTGCTTTTACTTACTGCAATAAGAATACTCTAAATCTTGATAAGCGTGCCTCTATTTTTGTTATGCCAGGTTTTTATTTGCTCAGCTGAAGACATATTTCATATTTCGCTAATGATTTATTTTACACAAATTTGAGTGATGTTGAAGTAACAAACTTCGATTAGTATTTCGTTTCGGCGTATTCCTATAGTTTAGTTAATATCTGCTTGTTTAAACGCCGAGCAAGTGTGTTGGTTAGAGAATGTCCAGGCCTTTGTACAGAGGTGTGACTGGGATTCGGATCCCTGATAATAGTATCGATCCATGGGATTCGCAATCGAAAGATAAAACAGAAAAAGATGGTTTGGATAAAAGAGGTTCTTCTGATCAGAGTCCATTACAATTGAGGTCTCCTTTTAAGTTGCTTTTTTCAGATAATTCTAGTTCTAAATATGGTGCCACGGAGAATAATTTTTCGCCTGATCCGTTCGTTCTTGGCACTCCTAGAAGTCGGCATAAGTTGATTCTTCTCTTCATGAAGTTTAGTATAGTATTTATAGTTATTTTTGCTCTTGCTGGTTCTTTTTGGTGGACAATATCGATTTCAACCACATCTAGAGGCCACATTTTCCATGGTTATAGAAGACTTCAAGAGAAACTTGTATCAGACCTTTTGGATATCGGAGAGATTTCTTATGCTCCCTCGAAAACGAAAGAATTAGAATTCTGTTCTCAGGAGTTTGAAAATTATGTTCCTTGTTTTAACGCTTCAGACAATCTAGCTCAGGGTTACACTGATGGCAGTGAGTTTGACCGGCAATGTGGCCACGAGCTTAAGCAAAATTGTTTACTTCTCTCGCCGACGAATTACAAAATTCCTCTTCGGTGGCCTACTGGAAGGGATGTTATATGGGTTTCTAATGTTAAAATCACTGCACAGGAAGTTCTTTCTTCTGGAAGCTTGACCAAGAGGTCAGTGATGATATCTCTCTCTACTACTGGCTTGCATTTTTCCAGCCATCATTTCATCTTAAAGTACTCACATTTTTTATTTTGTTACAGGATGATGATGCTCGATGAAGAGCAAATTTCCTTTCGTTCTGCCTCCCTTATGTTTGATGGTGTTGAAGACTACTCACACCAAATCGCAGAAATGATTGGACTTAGAAATGAATCCAACTTTATACAAACTGGGGTAGCTGAATATTTCTTTTTCTTCACTCAAAATAGAATCAAATACTTTAATTTTTTTGGTGGCCTAAATCAATTATAGTCATATTTCACTATTTTGATATATGTTAATTATGCAATTAAGCATGCTTAATTTCATCCACTTTGCTCAAGTTTGATAAATGGTTGGGTATCTCATATCTGCATTGACTGTAGGCTCATTTTCCCCTCTAACAGTACTAATACCAACAAATATATACATATCTTGATTAACTATATTAAAGTTATTTTATGTGACCTCACTTACCTCAAGTGCAAGTTAATAAAATCCAAATATTTTCCATTTGCATGTAATGTCAACCTCACTTACCTCATAACTGTTGTAAAGCTTTTCTTTCCCTACAATGCTACAATAATTTGTTTTATAATGCCAGAAAATCCTTTGTGATTGTTGACTAAGTTTTTGACATTATTGGCTAGGGACATCAACTTGGTGATTAACTTTGTATTAGTTATATTTATAAAACTTACCGTACCTGCAATTGGAGGGATTTGTGTTGTGATAGATATTTTGATAGGTTATGGTAATAGTGAATATGAACATAGCCCTTAAAGTTCGACAGTGATATTCCTTGCCTGAAATGTTTTTTGATTGGCATGTTGGCATTCACAGGTTAGAACCATACTGGACATTGGTTGTGGTTATGGTAGCTTTGGAGCACACCTCTTTCACAGTCAACTTTTAACTATGTGCATTGCAAACTATGAACCTTCGGGGAGTCAAGTTCAACTTACACTTGAGAGGGGTCTTCCTGCTATGATTGCTTCTTTCACTACAAAACAGTTGCCATATCCATCTCTCTCCTTTGATATGCTGCATTGTGCTAGATGTGGCATAGATTGGGACCAGAATGGTATGTCAAAAATCAACCTCATGCTACTATTTTTAAGGTCATCATAGTTATGTTGTTTATACATTTATTTGACAAAACCATCTATTGTCTGGATGATTTGGGCTTTGAGATAAGATGTTGGATTATAAATGTCACTCAAAGAAGGAATTACATGTCACAAATTAAGAAAACATGTGTATTTTTTTACTTGGATTTTTTTTTTGTTATTAGACTTATGTTTTATTCTGTTTCTTCAAACGATGCTTTTGTTTTCTTTACATGTCTCAGATATTGAACTTTGAGGATAGGCTCTCTTGTGGTGTTGTAGTTTTTCTCTACTGAGCTTAGACCTTAAACCATCAACACTCTTTTGGGACCTATGAAAAATTTGAATGGTCATTCTTCTATATCATTTATTGTTGTACCTCCAACTATACTTAAAATATAGCCCCCCTGTTTTGGTCTAAGTAATATTTTCTTTTAACTCGCAATTTATCCATTCTTAGGTTATTTAAATTTTGGAAGATATTTTAAGAAAAGGATACACTTCATATGTTAAGCCACGCAAGCTTTCTATTTCCTGTGGTGTAATAATTTCCCCATTAAGTTAAGACTTGCAACCAAGGAAAATTAATGGAAGCTCTCTTGGTTGTTCGACTTGTTTCAACTAAGTCCAATACCGTGGCCTCATCCAACAAGACAACAATGACCAAGCCCTTTCCCACTAGGCCATGCCATAATTTTTCTTTTCTTTTTAAATGTTTGAACTTAGAATCGGAAAACTTCATTATTGCCCTAAATCCATACCTCAATTTATTTTCAGCATTTATTAATATTACAGAACCCTGCAGTTACTCGATTGATCCCACTAAATATCTGGAGTCTGATTGATCTATTTTATTAACATTTTGATGGCATAGATGGAATTCTCTTGATTGAAGCTGATAGACTTTTAAAACCCGGGGGGTATTTCGTCTGGACTTCGCCGGTTACAAATACCCGTAACAAAGACATTCTGCAAAGGTGGAAATTCATACATGAGTTTACAGAAAACCTTTGCTGGGACATGCTATCACAGCAAGATGAAACTGTTGTATGGAAGAAAACTAGTAAAATAAAATGCTATAACTCAAGGTAATGCTGCTGTGGTGTGCAGTTATGAAAACTTATTTCATTTTGTATATCACGGGAAGCAAGTTTCTAGTAACTTAGATCTCTATAATATGTGCGTGCAGTTATTCATTGCAGATTTTTTTTTGCATGTATTCATGATTTTTGTGTGTTCGTATTTCTAGAAAGAACGCTTTTCCTCCCCCTCCTCTATGTAGTAGAGGCTATGATGTGGAGTCTCCATACTATCGAGATCTGCAAAATTGTATTGGAGGAACACATAGCAATCGTTGGATTTCAATTGAAAAGAGGGCAAACTGGCCTTCCAGGGATCATCCGAACAAGCATGAGCTTGAAATACATGGTAACTGTTATATTGCTCAACATTTCTTGTTAGAACTCTTAATAGTAATATTTCACTGTACATTATTACTGAATGATATCTCATATCCCCTAGGTTATCTTAATATGTATATTTACTTGCGTTAGGATTGCAACCTGATGAATTTGTGGAAGATGCTGAAAGCTGGAGGGCAGCAGTACACAACTATTGGTCTCTTCTGTCACCTTTGATATTTTCTGATCATCCAAAGAGACCTGGTGATGAAGACCCTCCACCACCTTACAACATGCTACGAAACGTGCTAGACATGAATGCTCATTTTGGTGGTTTTAATTCTGCATTGTTGCGTTCTGGAAAATCTGTCTGGGTCATGAATGTGGTGCCGGCGAATGGAATCAACCATCTTCCCTTGATCCAGGACCGCGGTTACGTTGGTGTTTTGCATGATTGGTATTTTAATCTCCTTTCTCTTACATTAGAATTTAATAATTCACTGTTTGCATTTTTGTGCTTGACTGAATGTGAAACTCACAGCCTTCTGCTAAATTATTTCTTTCTTGCCTTTTAGGTTTTATGTCTCGATCCCTTCCAAATGTATAAGTTTATTGGTTTCTTAATTTTCCCAGCTGTAAAATCTAAGCATTAATTCCTTGATCAAGGTCGTACTTATTTATGTTCTGTTGGAGGATATAATATTTACAAAGATTCGGATATTCTTAATATGTTTAAGTTTGTTTTGAGGATATGAAATTTTCCAGATATCCGATACTTCTTTTAAAAATATGTTCAAAATTAATGGATAATGAAGCTTATATGTCTAAATCTCGAAGGAACCAATTCAACCAATAAGTTTTGTAGGGTGAGAGAGCAGTTGAATGATTATCTGTCTAATATACCCTTAATGCAAGATCTGTTTGGTCTCAAGCAGTATTATCTATCTAAATATAACACTTAAATTAAGGGCATTAATACAAAGCCTGTAATTACAATCACTTAGTCATGAAAAGCCCGTGTCAAGGTTCTACATATCGTAAAACTTACTTTTTAAATGGAGGCATGTGAATGATTTTATGCCTCTAACTTTATAGACCCTAAAGTTTGCAGCTTAAATTTGACATTCCAGTAAACTAATTTACTATGTGGAAAGTTTTGTTACAATTATGATTTGTGGATTGTAGGTGTGAGGCCTTTCCAACATACCCTAGAACCTATGACTTGGTGCACGCAGCAGGGTTTTTATCCCTTGAAACTGCTCAGCAGCACAGATGTACCATGCTTGATATATTCATCGAAATTGACAGGTTACTTCGCCCAGAGGTATGCAAATACTCTGTGCTTTACTCTTCATTTATTGGTCGGATCTTTTGTGTGTGTTTGTTTTCTTATTCACTCAAGAGAAGATGGGGTTAAGAATGAAATAGTTAGATAAAAAGTTGGAATAGATCTCATAGTTGAAAAGATGTTGTAGTCATCTCGTAGATGGTTTTGGACTTTGATGAAGATGATCCATAGAAGCATTGCATTGGTAAAAAGACTGTAAACTACATGGAGGGTATTTCAATAGTTAGAGGTAGGAAGAGACCAAGGAAAACTGTAAGATCTATTTGGAGTTAAGTAATGTATCTTTGGATGTGATTCATGGCAGGGCAGTATGACATCAATTGATTTGTGTAACCAACCTTACCCAGTGAGAAAAGGATTTTGCTGAGACTCTTATTCAAATTATTTGGTGTTTTGAGGTACTGCTAAATTTATATAGTTGTGCGGCAAAAATAAAGTCGTGTTTTATTGAACACTCATAGTTTGAGTCAATGAAGCACCGATACTCTAAAATCTATGTCGTATCGTATCCGATACGCCGATACACCGCCAATACCTCAATTTTAATTACCTCATCATTTTCATTTTTTCTATTACAAGAATGAAACTTTTCCTTTAATTACTTTTCTCTTAACTTTAATAATTTTTGCTTTTTCTCATAATTCCTTGACTAATTATTATCAAATTTTGCAAACTCAATTGGTTTTTGTTAAAGAATCATTTAACAAATCTTTAATTTTAATTTTTTTATATACGTATTTTAAATCTATCGTATCCTAAATTTTTCAATGACTAACGTATCTCTGTATCGGATACGTATCGTATTTGATATCCGTATCGTGTCCATGCTTCATTTGAGTAAGGATACATTTTCAAAAGCTTGAACAAACTCTTAACCTGGTGAGTTTAGGTTAATTGGCACTTACCTCCAAGCATGAAGTAATGACTTGAATGGATTTCACTATCCATTTGCGACAATTCATATGCATAATGTAATTTATTTGTTTTATTCCTTTATTGAATCAAAGCACATGACCATGATGTGAGCATATAATGCAATATTAAATTTACTGTAAAAGTTGCTTGATATATTTTTTTTCAAGAGTACAACAACAACAACCAGCCTTATACCACTCAGTGGGATCGGCTATATGGATCAACTCCTGCCATAATGTTCTATTCAGGATCATGCATAATATTGTATTAATGTACGACTGTGACTTTTGTAGCTTTCAGTTGGTCTGCCCCTTTCTAAGCTTGGCTAAGGCTTTTCTTTACTTGAGTACTTGTTCTATTTTCAAAATTTTACCAACATCATGATAGCTTGTTGACTATTAATTTAATAATTTGTCTTTCTGCCTAATTGCTATTATAACAAGGCTATTTTAGTCAAGAGTTGCCATTTTACTCTGGAAGTGATCATTAAACGACATTAATATAAGACGGAGGGAGTAAGAGTTATTCCAAATTGTAAAGCATGTTATGAAAGAGAAATTGTAGATTTGTAGGAGGTTCTAATTAGATAGCTACATCCAGTTGAATTGGTATATTGTAGATCTCTTGATATCATATGCTGATAATTGTCATGTGTGCAGGGTTGGATTATAATTCGTGACACAGTTCCTTTAATAGAGTCAGCTAGAGCTTTAACAACTCGGCTGAAGTGGGATGCAAGAGTCATAGAAATCGAAAGTGATAGCGATCAGAGACTCCTGATCTGCCAGAAGCCTTTCTTTAAAAGACAAGCAAATTAATTCATTCAAGTCCTGAAGAAATCAAACCATAGTATTCATATATTCATTTTCATAATGTTCATTTGCTATCATAATGGTCTGCCATAGAAAGTGGGGATTGAAAATTTTGGACGAGCCGAAAAAGATAATAGAGGAAAAAAAAAGAGTAAATGCTTATCAGCGATACAACCAAAACTCCTATGTAACCGTAAGGTTTATACATAGGATCGTGTAATTACCAAACGAGGAGCAGAAGAGGTAGTATACTGGTAGATATGATTTTTCATGTGATGTCTGATTACAGTTACACAGACTTATTATGATTAAGATTGGGAAGATTATGAAAGAATAAGTTATTTTTGTTTGCCGGGGTGTATAAAATGCTCAGTGGTTGATTCCCCCTTTTGCAATAGAAGCATTTTTCTGCTCCATTTATAGATTCTTTACTGTTTCATGTAATGGCCCGGAAAAACTATATAATGACAATTTTCTCTATGTTCATGCTGTGAAATCAAAATCACATTCTACATTTATCCGGTGTACAATTTATATAACTTCAGTATGTGGTATTTCAAAATTACGACTCAAGCCAATTTAAGAGTCTCATGATTTCATAATGGACTTTGTTATCTATTAAATATAGGATTCATAACTAGTTTTGAGCTTGATTGCAAGAATGTGGTAGACAGAATTCACAAGCCATCAACAGAAGTCACAAAAGATTTAGTCTTTTAAATTCATGAATGTTTTAGATTTCATTTTTCTGCCAGAAACTTTGATGTGAAGTTTAATCAGACAAGCTAATGAAACAATTCATGGTTTACTAAAAGCTAATGTCCAGTCCCCACTACCAGTAGCATATTCTAAATAATGATTATAAAAATCACACATACATTTCAATGAAAACGGTTTCCCCAAAGTGCTTATTTGGTGTTACAATTTTTTTTCTTCTTATTTGATGGAAAATGGTTCATACATGCCACCAAATGTCCAATATACCACAATAAATAATATTTTATAAACAAATGAATAATCAATTATTTAAATCTAAATCCATATCTAATAAAAATTATGATGAAGTACTAACAATTTAATTAAAATATGCATACAACCTTTAAAAATAAATATTTGTTCCCAAAGTTTAAAGTATTAATAAATTATCTTTCAAAATAACTTCAACACCGACCTTAGCTCAGTTGGTAGAGCGGAGGACTGTAGTTGGCGTAAATTCCATTAGAAATCCTTAGGTCACTGGTTCGAATCCGGTAGGTCGGATTATTTTTTTCGCTACAAATTATTTTTTATTTTTCGCAATAGCCGTTATAACACTTGATTTCATTGTTCATACAATCATTACTCATTTCAATTCAATGGCTTTTCGCTCCTTCTTCCTCTCATTTCCTTCCAAAATCACAAACTCTAAAACCCTAATAAACCCTAACAACAACTTCACTCTCCAATTTTCAACCTCTTTTCTAGTCACCAAAACCCCCAAAAAGCTCAAGAAAAAACAGAAACCCAAATCAAGCCCCCGAACCAACCCAATCCAAACACAACCAAATCGCATAACCGAATTCGAACGAATCGTAGAACGCGACACTCTCATGAGATTCGTAACAAGATCAAAACAGTATCTATCCAATCAACCGGAGCACGTTCTTCAGCTTGACGACGCCGGGAAACTCCACCGCGAACTCGGTTTCCCCCGTGGCCGGAAAGTTTCCAGATCCATTCAGCAACATCCGCTGCTCTTTCAAACCTACCGCCATACTAATGGCAAAATGTGGCTTGGATTCACCGATCTTATGGAAGAACTCCTGGCTGAGGAACAATCTGTTATGGAATCAATGGAACTTGATCGTGTTGATAAGGTTCGTAAGCTTCTCATGATGTCAGCGAATCACCGTATTCCGCTTAGTAAATTTCATCATTGTAGAAACTTATTTGGTTTACCTGATGATTTTCGTGACCGGGTTGTGAAGTACCCTAATTATTTCCGGGTTGTTGTTGATAACAACAATGACGGAAAGCATGTTCTTGAGTTGGTTAATTGGGACCCGCTTTTGGCTGTGAGTGCACTTGAAAGAGAGTTTATGGTTAATGAAGAAGCTGCTAAGAGGAAATTTCATTTTCCTGTGAAACATGGGAAGGATTTGAAATTGGAATTGGATGATAAGAGGAAGCTGAATTTGTTAAACGCGCTTCCATTGGTGTCTCCTTATTCGGACGGGGGAAAATTGGATGTGTGGACTTTGGAAGCTGAGAAATATAGGGTTGGTTTGATTCATGAGTTTTTGAATTTGACACTAGAGAAGAGAGCTTCAATTCATCACCTTGTTGAGTTTAAGGAGGAGTTTAGTTTGACTAAGCATACTTATCATATGCTGCTTAAGCAGCCAAGAGCGTTTTATTTAGCTGGAACTGAGATGAATTGGGTTGTTTTTTTGAAAGATGGTTATGATAGAAATGGTGTTTTGATTCATAAGGATCCTCAGGTGGTGTTCAATGAGAAGCTTTATAAGTATGCTCAGATAGAGGAAATGGAACCTGGTTCTGATGTTGGATTGGAAAATCAACATATCACTTGAAACTTTTTCAACAATTGAATCTGAACTACTTAAAAAGGGTTTTTAAATTAAGAAAAGGCACTTCCGTTGGTGTCTCCTTATTCGGACGGGGCGAAATTGGATGTGTGGACTTTGGAAGCTGAGAAATATAGGGTTGGTTTGATTCATGAGTTTTTGAATTTGACACTGGAGAAGAGAGCTTCAATTCATCACCTTGTTGACTTTAAGGAGGAGTTTAGTGAAGTGCCTTTGTTATATTGAGATGAAATACTTCATTTTTTATAATAGTGACGGGCTTAGCAGATTCTCTTTGATTCAATGGTGAAATTTAAGTTAGTGTCCTGAGAATTTCATAGATGGCAAAGATTTTAGGTTTGCCAACTTTATTATTTTATCATCTAGGTATATTGGCTTTGATATTTTCAACTTTCATATGCGATGAAATGTTCCCTTGTATCAAGATGTATGATTTTTTTCATGATCAATATCTTTATAAGATATTTTCAAGTTGTAATACAACAACAATCAAGTAAGTGGGATCAATTACACGGATTATCTTTCGTCATAATGTTCTATTCATAATTATACTTCTATTCAAATCGTTAATCTCGAAAAAATTTTCAATAACTTCTCTTATAGTTTTTCTAAAACTTTCTCTTTATCTAATTGTTTGACTTCTCTATATCTGATATACTCTCCTTATTACAGAGTTTACATGTTTTCTCTTTACATTAAAGGTCTTACCGCAGTCCGATAAAGTTTTTCCCTCAGCTTAAGCGGTGCCTTTGCGTCACATAAAACCTTTGAAGCCCTTTTCCATTCCAATCACCCAATTTGAATTCAATGGTTTATATCCCTTTTTATTTCTCCATTATTTTGTATTACACACCAAAGATATTTAACCCATGTGACTTGAGGGATGATATGGTCTCGAACTTTCACCTCTATGTTAGAAATGCTTTTTTCTTTTGTTAAACTTATATTTCATATACTCTATCTTACTTCTTCTTAGGCAAAAACCATGCGTTTCTAAAGCTCGTCTCCAAGTCTCCAATCTCATTTAAACCCTCCTTCGACTCTTTAAGTAGGACTATGTCACCAGCAAAAAAACATGCATTTCTGAGCTAGTTTTTGGTGAATGCATCTAGAATTAAGAATTAAGGTAAAAGGGTAGTGGCTAAAGTTCAAGTTACTATAATAAATCCACATGGTGAAGATTTTATTATATGAAGTCTAAGACGGAGACTCTCAATGTCTAGCGACCATGTGCAGTCTCCTTTATGGTATATAAATCAAACACTAATGATTACAGGTTGATGCAAACACACCAATGCCTACAACCAAACCTTAACATATTGGTTCGGTTCAAGGTTGAAGCATTAACTGCTCCGGTTTATAATATAAGTTCTTGGAAGCATAAAAGACCAGTGGAATGTTCCTTTTTCAGACAACTACTGATGTTTAGATCGGCTCTTTGACCTGTGCCTGCTTTTCTGGGCTAAACCAGCGCTGCTTCTATGCACACTGGAGGAACTTGATCCTCCTTGGACACCTTTCTTCAGTGCTCTTCTGTTGGAGATCCGGCTGCTGTTTCCAAGTGCAGCTTTGGCAACACTATCAGTGAGCATCTCTCGAGCCCTTTGAGGCTTGACGGCATCCTTGTTCAGGTATACTAGCTTTGGAAGAAGACCACAAACTGCTTTGCGCAGTTGCTCATCACCGATGTTGCTTTGAATTGGATTTCCAAGCAGATTCAGGGCCTGAAGTGAGTTGTAGTTTGCTACAAGTTGGCCTAATGCTTTTGTTGTTGTTATCTTGTTAAAGCTCAAGTCCAGAACGGTTAGCTTCAATAACCTGTGCAACCCCTCAACATCACTTATCTTGTTTCCTGCAAGATATAGCTCTTTGACCGGTGTACAATTTGATAACCCTGATAAACACGGTCAATAAGTTTTAGAAAGTACTTCTGTGAAGACTAAGATATGAGAAATGAAAAACCTCCACCGATCATCAGCCCGCATAGAAACTAACCTTGTCCAATTCTTGAGATGCGATTGTAACTTAGGTCAAGTATACGCAATCGGGTTAATTCTCTGAGGCCCTCAATGATGCTGATCTTGTTTCTTGACAAATTTAGTGTGTGAAGACTCTTTGGGAGAAATCCTGGTGTGATATGAACTGCAAATCAATGAAGAAAACCAATCAAATGAGTTTGTATTGTTTTTAATTTGAAATCATACTGAAGGTTATTTTCTTCTCTCGAATGAGTTATACCTATGCAATTGTTAGACAAATTCACTGAACGAAGACTGGAGAAGTGTGATATTGCAGGGATGGCTTTTATACCAATACCACATATATGAGCTGCAGTTGAGGCTGAATTCAGAGATTGGACCACGCTATTGGCATACAAAATATCCTTTGAAAAAACGGCATCTTGATGTCGAGCCAACTGAGTCGTGCTTCTTGTAATTGATCTATCAGCATCTGGAGAAGGTGGCAGGACAGTGGTCACAATATTGTCAACAGCAAAATCATCCTCAGGAGGTGGCTGCTGATTTTCAAGATCTTTCATCCACTCATCCACTCTGTTAAAGGAGGATGGTTCTGTTGAGAAGGCTACCCAATGATTTTGTGTCCCAAAATCCAAGTTTTTTTCCTTGTGAAATCTGCTCCACCTTGGATTATCAATATTTTTATCCTTGCCACTTTTGCGAAAGTACTCTCCTGAGGATGATGCAGGAGAGGGTGATCTCACATGTCTCAATGTCTTACCTTTTTCTGACTCCAGAATGTCTGAAGAGTACCCGCATTGATTATTTAAAACAGCATTTGCAGGATGTAATTGTGTCGATTTGCTGACCAAAGGTCGATGAATGTTCCTGTGGCTCCAGAGGATCAACTTCCACCACAATTTCTTACTTCCAGAAGGGAGAACTTGACTCGACGAACGCCTTTTCAATATCACTTTATCAGCACTGCGCTGAGTCATCACAGACCTGGGACTTTCTAGATTAACCATCTGATTTGCTGATAATTCCTGCAAATTCTCAAATGACTGTGACCTTGAAGATGGAAAGTGATGAGCAGTCTTCCGTAGTATATCCCTTCTTTCCAGGTTAGAACAAGATCGCTTCAGCTTTGGAGAATCCCAGAAGTCACATTTGCCAATCCCAGGATCACTGACATGCCCACTTAGGATTAAATCAACACTCTTTTTGTTGTATTTATCATCTCTGTCTTCCAATTGAATGTTGACTTGTTTCTTATATAAACTGGGGGAGTTCATCTCTTTGCCTGTTGGATCATATCCTCCTTTGCTTGCAACAGCTTCATGAACTTGGAGATCAAAATCTGATAGCTCTCTCCTGATGGAAGGTGAATCTTCATGCTCATCCCCCCCGTCATAAGCTTCTTGTACTTCAGTCCTCATTGGACTGTCGAGATTCGTAGCTTTCACATTGCACCTTGAATTCATCTGGGTGGCTTCTGGATTTAAATCACGACCCTTTGATGATATCGTTGGGTGTCGTACTTTGGCATGCAACTGTTCCAGGTCCCCTTTTGAAGATCCTTCAATGCCCTGAAGAGACAAAGCAAGTAAATTATATGTTTACTCCAACCTCTAAAAGACAAAACCAGACATGATATTTGAATATATGTTATTTTTACCTTGATTTTATTCTTCCTTCCAATCAAAACAGAGACACACCTACACATGGCCATGGCAGAAGAGTAAGCTTGTTCTGAATCCTTTTATATTCAACCTCACAAACCTTGTGCTAGTTTACATACACAATCCTATTGCCTTTACATCACTACCCCATGACGGAGAAGATTGAATCACATTGGAGAAGATTGGATCAGAGAAAGTTAGCCGTAATCAGTGGGAAGAAATAGAAGCTTGTCCAAACAAAACTTTGGACCAGAAAGCCAAGCACTGACGGCTGCTGAAGTTGGCGAAGATATGACTAGAGAGTTGGCCAGAATAGTATATGCATATGCTGATGCCTCAGCTCTTCAAAGTTCCATCAGTATTTATCTGAAATAGACCTATCCAATTGATGATAACCAACCAATGGTTTAGAACTTCAGATAAACAAATATCCCTAGCAAACATTGATTCCAAAGAATTCTAGAACTTCACGTAACAAAACTGCAACCTGCGAATAAGTTCTTTTAAAAAGTGGAATATACATCGACCAAATAAGAATATATACTGTTTTTATAAAGTACAGGTTATGAATTCAATTGTACATAGTGTTGACTAAAATCAGAATGCAAGAGCCATTATTTCAAAGGGTTAAAGGAAACATGAGCATATGAACACAAAAAAAGTGTTGATCTAATGAGGGAAAAATTTTAGGGTAAAAAAGCAAACCTTTTGAAACGAAATTCTGCCAGATTGTCAAACTAAATAAGACCCGATATATGATGTGTTTGTGCGAGTATTCCTCATAAGAACATAATTCTGTTTGTACTATGTATACACAAAAAACTAAACAAGTGAAAGTGGAGAGGTTGAGGCTTTGTATTATTGTTTGTTGTCTGTTTTGACTAAGTGTACTGAGCTTTGTTGAAGATTGCTGAGTGGACATTATTAAATGTCGAGTGAATGTAGCACTTTTTTTTCTAAAATAAATGACGCATAAACGCGGAACAAACACGGGTGTCTGGTTACGTGTTTAGATCCGTGAGGTCATTCCCAAGACGAGACATTGACTATAGTGTGTGCGTGGCCACTGCATGTTGAGATATGTGCTTCACAAATCACAACAACAATCCGACACTAAAATTAGAAGGGTATTGATGTTGGCGCCTTTAATGGTGTGAAAAACCCCTAGTGTCTTTAAAATTCAGAATTTAAACTGCATTAAAAAATACAACCATAGACAAGTCTTAAATCCAAATTAAAGAAAAGGGTATAAATAATCTGGAGGTTGATCTGCAATTTTTTTCGGAGGTTAATATCCGTATTTTTTTTTTATAAGTATTAGGATCAGATTGGTTTATATAAATGTCTTTGACTTTTTTTTCTCTCTCTTTATTTGAGAAATTTACTTAGAATCTAAAACATAGCTCGTGAGCAAATTTCATTTTTATCATTTTTAAAATTTTCTCGTTATTTTTACTGCATTGCATTTTAACCTAGGACATCAATAAATTTCGAATTCACTCATTTCGATAAAACTTTGACAACTTTTCATGTTTCGTAAGCTTCTCATTTTCTTTCTTTTTTGTTTTGTTTTATGGTACATTATAATGCATAATAGGTTGTTTAGTGAGACATGCGTTCGTATTTTTTTGAAGTTTAAAGTTTAGGGCACTTGGGTATGCTTTATTTATGCGTTTTTCTGATTTCGCCTAGTTCGGATGTTAACTTCTATATTTTTTAGATATGCATAACCAATTTGATTTTACATGTTCAGTCATCTAGGCTTAACTTATTTGATTATGATATAATTTTACTAATTTAATTAAAGATAAAATGTCTGACAATCAAGAAAGATTGAGACATGGTAGACTAACTCATCATAGTTTCTTTAGGAAGGAAAAGTTGCTTATAAAAATAAAATTAAAAAAAGTTAGACCCTTTCGTCCAGACATTGGTGTCACTTCACTTGATGTAAAATCATCATCTTTTAGAGTTACGTGTTTCCGACATCGTCTTTTAGAGAAATGTGTCCCTTATTGTTATCCATTGTAACACCATGTTCTTATAATTTATTTATTTAATTGAATTGTGTGTTTTTAATTGATTAAATCGATTTCTATGTGTATTGATAGTGTTTGGATGGTTAGTAGTAGTGCTTGGTGTTTTAGGTTGGTAGTGCATAGCTTTACCTATTTAATTAAATAATAGAATTAATAATACTAGAGTAATGAGGATTTGAATTAAATAGTTAGAAGTAGTCATTTATTTAATTTATTAAAATAAATAGAGAATGAGACTTTTGGTGGAAAATGAGAAAAATAGAATAGTAGAAAATAGGGAGAATATTAGTGGTATTTTTATCACAAAAAAAAATAGAGGTAAGAGGGGGCATGGTGGTAAATACGAGAATAAGTGAGCATATTATTGAAAGTCTCTAATTGAATGATATTAGGTTATTAATATATTAGTTAGTAGAGTTTTTGAAGAAATAGGAATATATGTGAAATCAGAATTTAGTGATAAATCAAGATAAGAGAGATAAGAAGAACTTCATTGAAGAGCTTCAAGGAACTTTTGCTGAAAAATCAAGATAAGGGAGGGGGGGAGAGAGAGAGAGAGAGAGAGAGAGAGAGAGAGAGAGAGAGAGAGAGAGAGAGAGAGAGAGAGAGAGAGAGAGAGAGAGAGAGAGAGAGAGAGAGAGAGAGAGAGAGAGAGAGAGAGAGAGAGAGAGAGAATTACTCCTAATATTTATATAGATTGCATGTTGGGTAGAGGGAACTTCTTAATCCCTTTAGGTTTTTCTAATTTTTTCTCTTTTGTTTGAATGAATGATGAACATGATGTAATCTTGTGATAGCATGACTTGTATGATGAATGATGTGAAATTTGTATGCTATTTCACTGTAGAATTTATGTGTTCTTGTGGATAATTGTTAGTATGAATTGTTATTCCTATGTTGTTGTGAATTGATGAACAAAACATGTCAAATTCATGATTAAGTGAGTCAATTGCATGATATTTGATAGATAATTAATGTGGCATTGTCTATTTAAAGGTTAAAATCGTGTTATAATTGTTATATGATGAATTCTGAGCGTTCTGATTTTTACGGGATCGAAATTGGAGCTCCAGAAGTGCTCCAATTGGGGAAATTTGCAAAGCAACGTTTTTGGGTTCTGAGTATTGCTACGGATCGTAGAAGCTTCTTGGATTTTGTACCAGGTGAGACATTTTTAAAGTTTTGAGACTCGGATTGAGGCGTGATTTGAAGCGGTGGAAAGAACACACAGAGCTACATTATGGTAATGCCTTGTGAAATGAGTTGCCATGTTTGAATGACGTATGAGTATATGCTGTGAAGTGTGACTTATTGTACATGTTGGATGATGAATCAATGTTGAGATGATTTAATATGATTGAGCGTTGTATGTGAATATATATTTGATGTGGTGCTACTATTTGATCACTATTTTGAGGTGTTTGATGTTGTTCATTATGTCGATTGATATAATTCGCTTGTGCGGTGTGGAGAATGTTGTTGTTGTTTGTTATGGTGATTATATGGTGATAAATTCATGGTGGTCATTTTTGGTGAGATTGCATGTTATGGTCAATCATGCATCATGGTGTACGGGCTTTGGTATAGTTTTAGTGTGCTCTAGCCCGGTGGTATGGGTTCATGAGTGAGTAGCTAATTCTAATGAAGAATTAGTGGAGCGTTTCTTATGGTGATAACAACGAATTTTGCGTGCTTTGGTCCGAGGGTATGGATTCAGGAGTGAGTAGCTAATTCCAATGAGGAATTAGTAAAATGTTGTTTATGGTGATAACAACGAATTTTGGTGTGCTCTGATCCGATGATGTGGATTTAGGAGCGAGTAGTCGATTCCATATTGAGAATTGGTGAAGAGTTACCTAAAGTGATGGTAACGATTTGGTGTTCCCTGGTTCTATGATGGGGATTCAGGAGTAAGATGGACATGTGTTGTCCATAATGTTACCGCATGCATTGTTGAGTCATGGTGTTGAGTTCATCGCATTCATTATTTGTATATGTATTGAATGTTTATATTGATGTTGGTGGTTGAGAGTATTTTTTCATCGTTATATATTAATAGCATATTCTCATCCCTTTTTGTTTGTGTGGTTTCGTGCTACTTCTTGGGATATAAAAGAGTAAGCAATAAAGTAACTACTTAGAGGCTGAAGGATGATGTTGAAAAATATATTTCCGGCAAATATTTTTAATATCGTATCCACAGAAATTGGTGTTACTACAGCCGTTCTATAATTTCGATTGTTGTAAGTTCAAAAGGTGTTCGAATTGTTTGTTTATGACTAAAGTATTCTTTTTACTTATAAGAAAATTAAGACAATAAAATTGATTTTAGAATAGAGTTTAGAAGTCTTGTCAAGATTGAGTTTCACTATCTTTGTTCTTTATATGTTCTTAATACCACATGCATGCATTCAAACTCCAATGATAAAATTCAAGTGTCCTCTCAATAATATTTATGTCTAAATAAAATTGTGATGGTTACTATATAAATCCTTAGACGATCTCTCCATCTAACTATGATATATTAATCTTGAATGTTTAACACAATAGAAAAGTAGTGGATAAATCTATCTCTACAATTTATTCTCTACTTGGAAAAATATCTTAGGTCAAGAATCAAACTATCTTTCTCAATAATAATTTAATTCTGAATTTTCAATGTAAAGAGAAAATATAATTCCTTATATCAAATGTAGTTTGTTACATGCAATGATAGTAATGTTACATAAACAACATAGAATATCTACTACCTCAAGCTTGACAAGAAAGAAGTTTAGCTACTCATCATCTTCATTGATTCCATGGAAAATTCTTCAAGAATTTCTTCTTGGATGCCAAAACTCTCCAAGAACAAGAAAAATCTCTTCCAAATTCTCTCTAAGATATTCTAAAAACCTAAGAGATGCTAAGACTAAAAGATGGAATGATTATGTCCAACATGCAAGGGAAAAGTGCAATAAATAGCCTATGGGGCGCCACCCTACAAAAAGTGGTTTTACTTCCAAGACAGG